CGAGGTTCGTCAAGTACCGCGTTTGCCTGATTGAAAATAACGATCGCCGAAGCAGGCCTGTTATCCTCGAAAACCGCAGTGAAAAAAAGTCCGATTCCTCGCGGAGAATCGCTAGCAGACGACAAGTGCACAACCCGGCGAAAACGAAACCTAAACTACCCGTTGATTGTCTTTTGCTCCTGGGGTGTGTCTGAACCGCTAGAGGGATAGGTGTGCTGCCAGAGCCGTATATGGGTATTGAATTCTATCCTGTCCTGTGTCCAATCCAATCCACTGCCTAACGGAGAAGTGGTCGTTGTCCCTGTGCCCTCGTACAGTCAACACGTTTTATAGTTTCCTCTTATAATCCTGACATATTCTTACGGCGGGACATTCGCCGGAATTGATGCCGCCAACAAGGAACACCCGCACTGTCAGCTAAGTCAATATCCCGCGTCAGCAGTGACGTTTGCACCGGCGGACGGATCAGTTTTGGCAGCTTGTCCCCCTATATGCGACGATCACGCGTTTATTTGTACACGCAGCCGCTGGGTTACTGCAGAAAAATAAACGAAAACTAAATTCTGTCTGCCTGCGATAACGTGGGAAAATATTTTGAGGCTGAGATATCGCGCTGAATCGCGCACGAAGAGCATATACAGGGTGTCACAAAAGAAAATTTACACGGTCTTTCTTACCTCAAAACTAAACTAGGCATCGCCGAACGCTCATTCTCCGCCCAAAGGTAGAGCTAGAGGTCACAACCAGATGCAACAGTTTCAGCCCGATCCGATAACTAAATCAAAAGTTATAAGTAATTTTCTGAAAATTTCAATGGGAAAATGGCGGCCGACGGAGTTTTCAAACACATGGGGCTCTATGGCACCAGAAACCGAAAACATGCAAAAATGGGCTCCATTTTCCCATTGAACTTTTCAGAAAATCACTTATAACTTTTGATTAAGTTATTGGATCGGGCTGAAACTTTGGCATCTGGTTGTGACCTCTAGCTCTATCTTTGGGCGGAGAATGAGCGTTCGGCGATGCCTAGTTTAGTTTTAAGGTAAAGGCCCGTTCACACTCTTGCGACTGCTTGCGACCTCTTAAACCTGGGTTCCTTAAAACTTCTTAAACCAGAAAACACACTGGCGCCATGTATTGGGAAGCAGTGTAAACTCGGCGGTCCGGCATATTTTTTTTATTTCTCGCGCAATATCCTTTCTTTTTTGGCTCGAAAAGCTTTTGTCAATGTTATAAACGAGCCTTTCTATGGGTATTACGCACATTTGACCTCGGAAATCCCGCAAAACCTTCGCTTTTGTGAAATGCAGTTCTAGGGTCACCGCATAGATGGCGCCACAATGTCAGTGTGTCCCCTCATTCTAGAAACATTTAAGAAGTTGCAAGAGATCTCGTCTCTCTCAGTCGTACTCGGTCGCAAGAGTGTGAACGGGCCTTAAGAAAGACCGTGTAAATTTTCTTTTGTGACACCCTGTAGTAAAGGACTCGCGCTTGAATGTCCGTGTATGTTGTGCTGGGTTGTGAGTAGTAGGGTGCCTTCATGTCCCGCTTAGCGAACATGAAGGCACTCTAGTGAGTAGTGTGATATCGTCCGTGTGGATATTTTTGTTGCAGCCGGCACAACAGCACAGAGGGAAAAAATATTGCCCGTACTTGCCCCTTGCCCGTACTTGCCCCTGATTGGCCGCCTTCGGTCAGATGACTACTACCGGCATATTTTTAGAGAGTAAAGCTATACGCACTCCGGAGTGCGCTTCGGACGGAAATGGCTATACGCACTCCGCTTTTCTCGTATAAAAAGAGTGGACACAACGAGTTTCCTAAGCGGTGCCATAGCATAGGGGCTAGGGTGTCCGCTTCATACGCAAGTGGACGCGGGTTCGATCCGCGGTGGGCCTACTTTTTTCTTTTTTTTTTTTTTCTCAAACATTTTGTTTTGTCGAGGCATTTGGCGATATTTACGACATTTCCTTTTTTGTGATGGACAGTAAAAAAAATGTCGAGAAACTTCGCAGAACTAAATCGTACTGGACTCCCTTTCCGGAGGTGCGATCGGGGACAGCGGGGCTTGGATTGCCGGCTGGACGCCGCGAAGCGGCGTGTACTGGTTACGCTTTGTAATTAGCAGCCGATACTGTCGCCGCGAAGCGGCGTGAACGCAGGCGGCGGGCTGTGTTAACGAGCGCCCCAGTGATTCACGCGCCGTTCGAAAAGGGTGGCTTGAGCGGCATTATCTCTCGGAGGAGTGCGTATAGCCATTTCCGCGCGAAGCGCACTCCGGAGTGCATATAGCTTTACTGATTTTTAGGGATGACATCGTGCCGGCTGCAGGCAAAATATATTCCTGGAAGAAAAAAATACTAGATTTGCTTCACAGCCTAGACTCTAGGCACTCTGTGCCTATTCGCTGATTTTATTTTTTCCCCCGAGAGTATGTAAACAATATTTTTTCGTGGCAATGCAATCAATGGTATGGGAGTGTGCATGCGCTCACCATGAATTAACGATGTGCTCTCACACTCTTTTTTTTCAGAAATGTCAGTGTACGGCGGCACTGTAAACAACTTAATTTTTGCAAGAACCTAAATTTGCGAATCGCCTACGATTTGCGAAAAATAGGTCCCGCAAACAATTCCGGTAAAATATAAACACATTGGAATCTATATTAAGATCCCACCACGTCGCGAAAATTAGAACCTGCAAATTACTTAAAAACTTCAAGTTTGGCCTAAATCGCGAAATATATTGAGCCCGCAAAAAGTAAGTTGTTTACAGTATAGCCAGCCAATAGGAGGACACTGCCGGCAATCTTTTACCCGAGTTCCTATGCCGGCCACCAGCAATATAGACCGTTCCATTAGGGTCATAGCAGAGAGGGTAAAAGAGAAAAAAATGCACTCCCCCTCTCACCCCGCAGGTCGTCCGCTTCACCGAGTGGACTGTAGCTACCGTCCGGCTGGCGTGCAAACTCTGTTTAAAATCGCGTCATTTTGGAACTTTCAAGCTCAGATGCGCAGATTTTGGTATGCCAGTTGTCATGTATTATTATGCTAGATAAAAAGACTCACAGGGTCCAATTGCGCTGTTACCTGCTTGCAAATAAAAAACAAAAATAGGGAAAACTGTGTCAGATTGGCCGGTCTCTCCGGCGAAAAGAAAATCCGGTTGCTGTACCTTTTTACTATACAAAAGTTCGTACTGGTGTAGGCCTTTAGCGACCATGAGTGGAAGTCTGAAATAATAAATAAAACGTGCTATCCTGCCGCAATACAAACAGTAGTACTGCCGGCTGACTCAACTGCTATTTAAGTAACGGAAAAAAGATATGCTAGTTGATCATTTAGCAAAATAGAACAACAGAGAGCTATAGGCTGATTTTTGGAGTAGCCACAACTATTCTAAGAACGCGAACCACTTCACAACGGCAGCCACGAGCGAGAGTTCTATGTTCGGTAGAGCCCGCCGACACAGCCCAAAGATGGAGAACGGCAACCTCCCTGTTTGTCGTCTGCTAGCGGAGTCAGGCGCGTGCCCTCTCTCTCGTTTTACCCTGCCGAACCCGCTGAACTTCCCGGATGTGTGGAGAGGGCGCTGCGGTCGAGCAAGATGGTGCCGCCCAGAGAGTGCTAAATGGAATGGTCTATATTCACCGTCTTCTTCTTATAGTAGTCCAACCAAGGTATTTCTGCAACGCTGTATTTAGAGCACCATACAATGATTCTTCCAAGTCTAAAAGCAGGATGCAGAGCCTGCCATGTCTAGACTGAGCTTACTCCGTTGACTCGAAATTTGTCGACTTTGAGCACTTGAAGTTACAGAAGTGTTGCGAAAGACAATTAAAGGAATTTGTGTCCATTTAGGGAAAACATAAGTACCAGCTAAACGTGGACGCAGCAGTCGTGTCTATTTTGTGCCCCACGTCAACCTTTTTTAGGCAACAGCAAGGATTCAATACTACGTTATCTAGGAGGTGCTGATTAAATTCGAGTCCCAATGTTTATCGATCAGTGCCAGCAAAGTAAATGCCACAAGATGGAGCTGCATGCTTTAGACGCTTTGTGACTGCCGTGCACCAAAGCCATATATGTAGAGAGTTTGGTCAATGGGAGCCGCGGGCAGAGCCAGGGCGTGCTCCAGGCTCGGAAAGAGGGCTTGGCATGCTTTCTTGACCAATCAGAAGCCGAAAAGAATCCCCTAGTGGTGGTAGCGAGAAACAGTTCTGATCAAAGGTCTATGTTTGTAAATGGTTTTAAATAAGCGCATAAGAGTGAAGTGTAGTAACTCTCCGTGGTTGAAAATAGGGTGCACGTGTTGTTTTGATCATGATCATGCAGAAAGATGTAAGAAACGAATGCGCCACTCAACTCGGTTTTGCTCGGTCAGAGTGTGACCTCTCGGACGGCAGATTCCCGGCCCTCGGCGCTTGGCGTACGGATTATGTCGATCGTTCCGCTAGTCGCACTCCTACACCATCATTTTGGATGAGCGTGATTGAAACATCACGTGTACCATATTTTCAGCCATCGAGAGTTACTTTAACGCAGTTATCAGGTTTTGTTTCTCGCGACCACCGCCAGGGTATTATTTCCAGCTTCTGGTTGGTCACATTCGAATTTGTGAAGATGCCCTGGAACACGCCCAGCCCGCTTTCAGCCAATGGTGCCTCCTCCAACGAATGGCCAAACTCTCTACATATACGGCTCTGCCGTGCACGAGCGCAATCTATTTGCGTTCGCTCATTCGGCGCACCATCGAGGATTACGATTGTGGGATGACATCGTTAGAGTTTGGACGCCATGTTCTTTGGAGTCTTTCTTTACGGAGACCTCAGTCTTTTGTTTGAGTGTAATTCATCCAGAGCGGTGTTTTTTTTTTCTCACATTCATAGTCCTTATTATTGAACCCTTATTTTGGCACCTACAGATAGGTGCCTTGGATATGAACATTTCATTACACCGTTGATGGTAGATACGGAAATTTATTTGACTAACCTTAAGTGTGAGGGAAAAAAAAAGCCCTCTGTGACTGCAGCTTTGACCCAGCCGCGTCACACATTGCACGTCATTTGGTACAACAGTTTGGTGCTTTCTGAACACGTGAAGAGATAATTTTATTTGCAAGTATTTTGTTTGAATGGCCCTTAGCATTGGTATGAGCACTGTCAGACAGCAGTTTAGGCCCTAAGGTTTTGCAGTGCTACGTGCTCCTGCTTGTGCTTTTTACGTTACACCCAGCTTGTGATAAGGGGTATTTTAGCTCGCCAAGTCCAAAGGCTTATAGTTTTTTTCTAAATGCTCCCTTTTTATACGCATTATTCCAAATATTCCCGGATGTCGTTTTTACAAGCACTAGAAACTGATTGTTTCTAGTGCTCGGATATATTCAAGTCTTTCATTTCAGCATGCTAGAGTTCAAATTAGCGGCTCTTCGTAACTGAAAGGGCAACGCACGTTACCTTGTCGTCATGGCGATATTCAGAACACACTCAATCTTCCTTTTGATTACACTCGCAGCCAACGCCGCAGCCGTGGCCATGACGGAGTGAACGGTAAAAACTGTGGATTCGGCTCCAGGGGAGTTTTGTCCCAAACCTCAAACACGCCTGCGAAAGCATTGACAGTTTTGCCTCATGTTTCAGAAAATATTTCTCGTCAATATCGCCTTTCTTGACTCAGTAAACGCACTCAGCGCCTTAGAACCCTCCTCTTACAATTTTACATTCATGTACTTTCAGCCTTATCCAGAAACAAAAAAAAACCTGTGCCGCGCTGTGCGAATCCTTCAAGGTCATCCTAGCTAATTTTTGCTTCGCAAGTTCATCACAAGGGGGAATGTGTGGCAGTGGCGGCGGCACTCTCACTGCTCTACTCCGGCTCCTGCCGGCTCCTCCCATTGATCAGACTCTCTCTTTGCACGACTCTGCATTCAGTCAAAGCTTCATAAATCTGCATTCTGTACAAAAATGAGCTGAATTATGCGTTTGTATAGAAGAAAGGTGGTTAGGCACAGAACCCTGCAGGAACAGTGGTTGCATTTTCCTCATCTGCCCTGTACCTTAAAGCTTCATATGCAGACTATTTGTGAGCATTATTCATAGTTCTATGTGCACATGATTTACAATCTGAACAAAACGTTAGGGCAAAAACGACCTGGTGAAGGTTTAACATAATTTTAGACGGACCCCCGATACTGGGGAAAGGACGAAGAACAACACAATACACAGAGACTCTGTGTGCTGTGTTGTCCTTCGTCTTTTCCAAAGTCTCGGGGGTTTGTCTAAAATTACAATATGCAATCTTTTTCATTCTTTCATCGAGGGCTTTAGCAGTGTTTTTCTCGTGCCTTGGGGAATCGAAATTAGATATAAATTCCAAAAGCACCTTGAAGTGGTGTCTTCACTTTTACTGAGAACTCTTTATAATGTCCTGATGATGTTCATAATATACTAGTACTATAAACGGCAATGCTTCTTTTATGTGCATAATATATAAATATCAAACCACTTAATAAATACACGCATGCTGTGCTCATAAATTGATTTTATACGTTTAAAGTGTCTTGATGTAGTGCATAGAGTTTCATTTCAGTTTTTTCTTCTTCTGAGGATTCCCAAGAGCAAGCTGTGTAATCTTGCCTTGCACTTACAGAAATCGTTTGTATCCTTTCCTTTTGGCAACACTTCGTTCTTGTTGAGCCATCCGAGGAAGTTTTTTTATTAGTGTTTTCATTCTATCCAAGGTTCTGTGTGAATGTGATTTGTCATTGTACGTGGGCAGGTCTTTCTTACAAGGCTTAGTCAATGTGTTGGCTTAGCATTGTGACAACTAAACATTCAACTATTTTATGTGATGCAGATGTGTTTGCTTGTTTGCTTATTCTTAGTGCAGTATATTATTAATTTGACATTGAACCTTATATTCATTGCATGTAAGAGATTCCATCTAATTCTTGCTGGGCCATGTCATAATTATGGTGTACTTTATGCTGAAAGAATTAAATAATGTAATTCGTTGAATGGCCCAATGACAGCTGTTCTTCATTTGCTTTCAGGCCCTGAGAAAAAATTGACCTTGTTTTGGATCAAACAAGTTCTTGTGGAGGTGCTGTGACAAACAGTTTGTCATATTGACCCACTGTCACCACCGATGAGAAACTTCATGAACTGTGAAACTGGAAGCTGAACTCAGTGTCACCTTATCATTTTCAGACTGTTAGATGGCATGTGTTTGTTTTCACGTTTTGCAGCTCTGATTTGAGGTGTGAAGTCTCTTGGAATGGGTTTAAAGGTATACAAAACAGAATATTGGCCCACTTCAGATATAGCAGTAGCAACCGTTATTGCTGTATTTGTTCACTTCTGTGAGCCGTGGAGTGCAGCTGGTCTGCATTTTGATCAGCGTATTGCAAAAGTTACCAGCCTCTTTTTTATTTGCATTCTCTGAATGAAACAGCCCACTTCAAAACACTGTTTACTCATCATCTCTTTAGATTCTTTTTTAAAGCATTCACAAAGTTCCAAGCACATCTGTTGCACTTTGTCTTGCTCAAGATTTATGTCGCTGCTTTGTGTATTTCTTGAACTGATTTATCTATTTTGATCAAGTTTTCCTTCATTGTTTTTGGTAATCTGGGCCAAATCACTCCTGTGGAAACTGCATCGCAAGCAAAAAAAGGTTCATGCCGTAGTGGTTTGTGCAAAAGATTAAGGAAAATTAATTGCATTCGGTATAATGAGATAATATAATGCTGTAAGTAATTAAAAATTTTAATTATATATTTTGAAGGTATTACTGCAATTGAAAACTTGATGCAAATGATCAGAAACTATGAAATCCACCTACATGGTAGTCATATAAAGCACATGCAGCATTTTATGGTGAAATGCTAAGCAAGCGTCTACTCAATATTTGAAGATAATCACAAAAAAATAGAGGGTGGGCACATGTCAGCTCGTCATTTCTGCATACATATGTACTGTGCATATCTTCTCAAATGTTTCATATTTTGGAGGTGGGCTCTTAGTGTGAAATGGGCAGATGGGTATTCTACGGTATGTGCGATGCATGGTGGCGCACATAGAATCGGCTGGAAGGCCTCTGCACTGCCACATAAGGCTTCCCTTTTTGATGTCAGTGCCAGACACCTTATTGAGCAATGCATGGCAGCACACGCACATCACACATTTTGGCCACAGGGAGCAGGATTACCAGTGTTGGCCTCAAAAGAGTTTGACAGATAGATCAATAGAGATTTTTTTTTTTAACTCTTAGTTACAAATCCCACAGGAGGTATTCCCACCCACACACGAGTCCGTGTGGCCAGCTAGACGACAATGGTCGTGCGAAGGTTGTGCAAAGTATAGACAACGGAGTGGTGAACAGTACAGCGTTCGGCGATGTGTGAGGTGTTTGACCAACGTCACCTAGAATGACAAAATCCTGCGCCCCACAATTTTGAAGTCGTCGCACTGAGATTGAGCAAAGACACAAATTGGACACAAATGCCGCATCAATGTTTGGTCATGCCTCGTTTCCAATATGCCACTTTTGAAATAATGAAAAGATTATCTGTGGTCGCCATTAGTTGGTTATGTGAGCATGCATTGGACACGAGCGCCTCCTCAGTATTTGGAGTGTACTCGGTTCGAAACGCATTCCACAGAAGTGCTGCATCACTGTTCGGTGCGAACTAGGAACCAATCGTGGACTTTACGCCGGAAGTGATGAAACCGACTAATGGCGGCTGCGCATAATCTATGCATTGTTTCACAATTTCGGAAAGGCTATGAACACGCCGAAGGACGCTCTGCATTGGGCTTGGGTCTGATTACCGAGTCTATGCCATCCAGCTGCGACGACGTTCCATGAAGGAAGAGGAGGATGTTCGCAGGCCTTGATTATTCTAGGTCGTCAAATCAGATTTGGGACTTTTTTGTGCCAAGCCAACGAAAGGCATCTGGCACACCCCAATGGACGACCGAGTATTAATTTTGTTTGCCCGGGAATCTTTTGTCATGCAACCGGAACCTCGGTCGCATGGCAACTGAAGTTTCACAGTAAGGTTATGTGCCTGCAATAAGGTTTCGCGCCTGTAATAAGCCTCCATCGGATTGCGGGCACCTTGGTCGGGATCCAAACCCGCTGCCCGAGATCGGTGGGCTGCAGCGCTTTGCGTTGCAGCCACCGAGGCAGTTCATTTTAGGTGGTGTTGGTTCGAATGAGCGTTACACGAGTGCTTGGCCGCTGCTCTGCAGGGAGTCATTGACAGTCTAGTCCCCCTCACATGTCTCACAGCAGCGCCGGAGAACATCACCTTGGGCCACGGCACACCCGAGCGCATCCGCCACGGCAGCCCGTTCCCTCCCGCCAATCCAGCGGGGGGCACGCACCGTGGCGCCGCCAGGCACCAGTGCCGCTTCTGCGCTTACTCCAGCCAAATCAAGCACAACGTGACCATGCACGAGAGGACGCACACGGGGGAGCGGCCTTTTGTGTGTGAGGTCTGCCATAAGGCGTTTACGCAGAGGATCGACCTGATTTACCACCTGAGGACCCACACGGGGGAGAAGCCGCACAAGTGCAGCACGTGCGGGAAGGAGTTCCGGAAGGCGGGACACCTCAAGGGACACCTGAGGGTGCACACTGGCGAGAGGCCTTACAAGTGCCTCACCTGCGGGCTCGCATTCAGCTGCTCCTCCAACTTCACCAAGCACTGCCAGAAGCATCTGGGCAATGTGTCTTAGCGGTGCGGGGGTCCACGTCCGCAGACGCACCTGGCGGCGAAATTCGGTGACAATTTTGAGTGGGGGTTGATGTGTGCCCGCAGACCGTACAGTGGCGTCTTCTTTTACCTGGCCTATCTCTATCGAAGGTCAGATTTGTTTTACAAGTGTTTTAGGCTCAATCATACATTTTCCCTCGAATGTAGTTGAGTGTGTAGTGACAGCTTATTGTCACTTATTGTCACTTATGCGGAGACACCATCTATCATTGGGTAACCCTGGAACACATCCGACCTGCATACCGAATTCTCCGGACTTTAACAGTGTACATGTTCGAAAGCTGAAATTTTGCACGGCACAGACCGTCTACAGGTGTGGACTACGTGGAACTGTTTTCTAGATCTCGTCCATTGCAACAAGATGTGACACATTTTGTGAACGACAGAGTATGTTAACAATTTATGTATGATACGAGCTTCTGTACGAGCTAACAAAGCGGGAATTTGTCAAGTTGTGCTCTGTACGAAGCTTTTTTATGTGGAGACTAGTCACCAGGTGTAGTCTAGGCGGCATCAGGTGCGGACTACATACCAGGTGTGGACTATGGTCCGGAAGATATGGTACATTTTACGCATCATACTTTCGCCATAACCAGTAACACCACGTAAAGAATGTTTCAAGACTCGTCGGCGCCAACTTGCCCTCGCGTCTATTGAAACTTACAAAACAATACTATTGCATCTCTTTTTTCTCACAAGAAGGTCATTCGCCAAATTTCTTTGGTTTTCTTATGGTCTGTCCTGACCTGGTCTTTGAGATGCTTTTTTGTTGTGGAGGAGCACTCAATTTTGAAGTGCTTGCTTCAGAATGTGTTCGGTTGCTGGTAGACACCTGTGATGTTGGAACCAGGTGATGTGCATTTTGGCGAAGATATCCTCCTTGTCCTTATAGTCTAAGATCAAGGTCCCGGTCTCTTTGCCGTGATTGTTCCAGTTGCTCTGCTTTCCCTCACCCATACCTCGCTGCCAATATCCAGGTTCTGTTTTCGGCACACTCCATGTCTCTTGTTAATTTTATGCTTGCTTATTTTTCTCTTCTCGGTCTTTCTTCCAGAACTCCTCGTGGTTGGGCAGTCTTGGCAACAGTGTAGAAGTCAATACTGGCAGTGTGGATCGCAACTGTCTTTCCATCAGAAGCTATGCTGGGCTGCATCCCAAAGGTTCTGGTGGTCTGTAGTTTAGTAGGTCAAGCTCAGGGTCTTCAGACCTCTTGAGGAGTAATTGACGATCTTAATCATTCTCTCTGCTTCCCCATTACTCTGTGGGTACGGAGGGCCGCTTGTAATGGTGCTCAATCTTGTAATCCTTTGAGAAGTCTTCAGATAGCTTGGAACGGAATAGTGGATCATTGTCTGATTGCAGAACCTCGGGTATTCCGTGACGAGAAAGTATTGCTTTGAGATGTGATATGACTGCTCCCGAAGTGGTTTGTCTCAGTCTGCTCACTTCTACATACCTACATACCTTGGCCATTCCTCTGTGCGCTCAACCCGTCATCGTTGCTTGGGCCTTTACGTTCTCCGAGTTGGTAGGGTTTCCATTTCCGAAGCACCTCTGACACCATGTGGTTCTAACATGATTGTAACGAGTAACACCACGTGGAGAATGTTTCAAGACCCATCGGTGCCATCTTGCTCTTGCGTCTGCACGCACCGCCTGGCCATGTTTATGGAAACTTACAAAGCAATAATATTACAAACACGACAAAACCTTTGGTCTAGTTATGCACAGATCAGAAGCATTCCAGGGCTGCCCAATAGGTGGCACCAGTGTATTGTCTCATCATAAGTCGTTACAAATTATAGCAACACAGTCGATCACAGATGTGTGCCCGCAGACAGCTTGGTAATGTGTCTCCTTACCTGTTCTTTCTGTCACAAGTCAGGTTTGTTTTATGAACGTTCAGGCAGCAGGTTGTAGTTAGTCTGCCTCGAAATGACATCTCACGTCTGTGCCGTAGATAAATAATTTGGCTATCGCAGTGCCACTGTTAACCTGGGGTCTTTAACGTGCAGTTGTGATTACACGACAAGCTGGTGAGATGCTCTCTTATGAGCAGTAGTGATGCCAGGCTGGGTATATTTGTTTTTTGCACTTTAACCGTGAAAATTGCTAAATAGTGACTCTGAATTTCCTTTTGATTATGAAAGGTTAATGTTTCATTAAAACATTCCCTGTGGCCCTTTTCTATTCCACGTTTCTGCTTTTTGTTTTTTATCTTTCTTCCCTGGTTATGTTCCCCATGGGCCCTCCAATGTAACACAGCCTAGTGCTTGTTTGCTTACTCATGTTTTTGCTTCATTACCGTTCTGGCCTACTTTTTACACCCCAGTAATAATATCAAAAAGGCAATCCATCACTCCTTAAAAAAAAAGAACCCTAAGTTTTTGTTTTTATCTCTTCATATTTTAGATTATCAAGCTGGCACTTTTTAGACTTTACTTGCACTTGTACAACCAACTGTGGTGTATGTCATGTCCAACATTGGGTTACTCTTAGAAGGTGCCAATTGTAGTACCCTTTATTAGCTGAGTGTCTTTCAATGGCCAGCATGACTCGATTCAGATCTAAAATTCTGGGGACTCCTTCCATGATGATACCTTAACACCGCATCAATGATTGCACGTTTTGATTTATTAACTGTCTCTCAACATTAAGGACCATGGGATCCTTGATCAAGATTGATGCGGGAATCGCTGCACCTCCATTGCTATTTGCATATTTTAGAAAGTGTTCTGTAGTTTGTTTTTAGCCTCTGGCCCCATTTCAGTTGCTCGTTCATTGGAAATACTACCTGCTTCAAGTTTATGAATCTAACATTCTGATTCTGTTGAAACTGGGCAGAAACAAGATGTAAAACTTCTGCAACTAAACGAGGCAAAATTATATATTTTGCACGCCTAACTTTTAAAGAGACGGTGCATTTCAAAGTTGACACAGTATCCCGGCAGGGGGCGAGGAGAAAATGGCTTCATTGCAACCTGGTGAAATAGTTAAAGTGTTTGGTCCTAAACCTTGGCTTTGAGGAGGGTATATGTGAAAGGGCATGTTTGTACCATGTGCTTGTATGGAAGCAGGGCACCACGGCAAATTGTATCTGCATGTTTGTTTATTTACTTAGATACAGCTATCACCCTAGTTTGACTTAGTTTGTTATATCTAGGTTTACTTGTGAGTTTTCATATCAGTCTCTAAGAGATTAGACTGATGTCACCTTTGGTAGAGTTGCTCCTTTGGCGTTTGACCCTATGGAAAGTGTTGTATTCACTTCTAGTATGTTGTGATGCTGGATAAAGACAGACAATTTTTGTACTACCTTCTTTGATTAGATACTGCTCTGTAAGGCACTAAGAAATGAATGTTCCAGTAATTCTAAAGGACAAGAATTGCAACATGTGCTGTGGGTCCTTTTTGCTTCTTGGCTATACTAGCTGCACTCTGCAGTTGTGGTGGCCATGGCCTGTTTTGGCACAGTCGGAATCTAGATATTGTGCATGCATTTCACTTGGTGAAATCGGTGTGTTACAGGGTTGTCAAGTTGCAAGGCAAGTGCAATAACAACAACATGACGAAGCAGCAGGAATTAATGCTTTTTCAGCGGGTGTCAGCGTGCGCTTTCAGCTTGTATAATGTTTGAAATTGTTTCCCAGAGCACCCAGTGATGCCTGGCAACCATTAAAATAGATCAGAACAGAATTGCAAGTTATGACTGTGAAAGTTTCGGTGTCTACTGCAAGCGTTTTCAACTTGGTGAAAGATCCAATCTGCCATAATTTGTTTACTCATTAATTGTGCTTGCATGCCGTCACTCACTGCAATAAAGCACCGTCGTCAACCGTTTTTCACGCTACATATGTCGACATGCTTTAGTACCAGGTTTTCTAGTTAGTCTGGTGTGTGCCTAATGTATGATGCTTTCCGAAATCCTATTGTATTTGGCAACTCATATCTTTTAGTGTTTGTCACCTCACCATTTATGCACCATTATGAGGGCCTTGCTATTTAGAAGTGAATATAAATAAAAAATCAGTTAACCAGTGGAAAAGCTTTGATTGCCAGTTTTTGCAACTCTTTTCTGCATACCATTCTGTCCCAGCAGCACTCGTGGCGGTCATGTTGAAATATTCTTGTCATAACTTGAGAAGCTTTGCAAGGCATATAGTATCAACTATTTGCTTTAGGCATTTAGCTTCACAGGACACATTCTTCCAAAACTGGTCCTCCCTCACACACGTCCTAGAGAGTTCTAGTGTTAACCCCTGAAAATGTACTCGAAGCTTCCAGCTTCCTTGGGGGAATCTCATGATTGTTTCATGGTTTGTGGCCATTGCACCCAGGAAGAGTTGTTTAACTGGTGCTTATTTCTTACCAGCCTTAATTTGCTCCTGTTACATCATTGTTTTTGCACTGTCACACTATTGCTACTCATGTAAAACACTACTATTTCTCTGGTGCTTCTATTAGGAACTCCAGCTTGGTGGCACTAAATTCCTAATCATCATCTATTGGAAGCTTCAGATACACAGTCTCTTCACTACAAAGCAATGGAATCCTTTTCTCATGTCTTCCGCAACAGGGCTCAAAGGAACTTTTCTTAATCCTGGCTTTGAAAGCTTCTTTGTCGAGCACTACGGAAACCTGTTGTCATCCTAAAACTTACCAGCTTGACACAAAGAGAGGAGGATTCGAGAAAATGAGAAACATCAGCGCCGCTTCTCCTCTTTTTTTAGCCATTGCTGGCACACTGTGATCAATCACAAAAGGACATGTGCATGGCAAATACCCTTCAGCTGTAACGTATGCTAGAAAGCGTTCACAATTTCACACATAATAGTCGACCTGGCAGACATAACAGTCGACCTGGCCTGATGACTCGGAGTGGTGAATGTCCTTACATTTGCACCACCTTCAAAAGTGCTTTCAGAAAGGGCTCAAATTACGTTGGGTCACAAGAAGGTGCACACCGTTGAAAGGCCCTACAGGTGTAACCTTTGAGAGCAGAAGTTTGCCTGCTCTTCCAGCCCGAGAAAGAACCTAAGATGTACACAAGTTATGCACCTAATGGCGAGACTACTGCAGAATCTGCAGTCTGGCATTTGGAGGCTGTTGCAGCCGATTACAGGAACTGTCACAAGTTTCCACCAACCGAAATGCACAATCACCTATATTTTTTGCCTTTCCCTCACTTTGTACTAAAGGGTGACATCTGAAAGTACCAGTGTGTTGGATGCACTTCTGCAGTGCTATGTACTTGGATGGTAGGACGTGGTGTTTGACTCGCTTGTGAGCACATTCCAGCCAATTGCCGATGTCTTGTTTAATGTGTTGTGCAATATTCTGCCGATCAGGATGTGTTGTATATTCTTTTCCACAATCTGCCATTTTGTCTGCCAGATTGTTTACATTTTGCTGCGACATAAAAAGTAGCAATATTTTAAAAATTGATGATTTTTTTTTTTAATAGCCTCCAACAGTTTTGTTGCTATTATTCTTTCTTTTTATTGGCCGCTTGCCTGCTTTCTTTTAACTCTTTTTTGGAAAAACAGCACTTATAATGGCTCATTTGATTTTAAGGTAGGAATGCATGTTGACATCTCTGATATCGAGATAAGCTATTTCCCTTAAATTTATTGTGCGTAGCATATTCTGGGGTGGTGTACAATCAAAACTTGTACTTTCCAGCTGATGAACTGTTGGAATGCAGAATAGCTAGGTGAATAGCTGTACTAACTGGCATCAATCAAAGCTTGTTTCTTTATTCTTAAGATGTGTCTCTTAACAATAAAGACATTAGATTTTTTGTTTGGTCGCAATGAATGTAGTGTTGAAGCATTTCCACTATGGTATTTGAAAGGAGTGTTTTCTTAAAGTCAGCAGAGTTTGCTTCATTTTCTCTTCATTGCAGTGCCAAAGGTGGCACGAGAAGTCCTCTGTAAGAGAAATTTCTTTACGTAAGGTGAAAAGATTTTGTTATGGAGTAAAAGTTTTGAATTTCGATGTCGCTGCAGGGTTAGAGTCATTATACAGGAATCTTTTTTAGTGCTGTACCCTTGAAAAAAAATTGTTGTATGCTTTCCAGCAGAGTTGGAGACAGTGCTGCTGACCACCGGAGAGGATGGCTTCTGTTACATGTGCTGTGGCAGCCTGTTCTACTCCCAAGCAGACCTGGATCATCATCAGTTTGAAATGCATGCGTTGAAGGAAGGTGAGCCCAGTTCATTCTGTAATGACTCCGGGCACACTGATGCACTCTTGCAGCGGTGGAAGTGCTGTGCCACTTGCGCCAAATGGCACCTCAAACGAACGCCTGCCACATCTTGTGCCAAAATGCCATTTTTGCTAGGCATTGCACCACACCTGCGCCAAGTGGCCTTCAACAAAAACAACAAAAATATTTTATCTTTGGTTGACTCTAATATTCTGAGAAGTAAGAAGAAATGAAAATGGTACAAATATGTATTTTACGGCATCTCTACTTACTGTGAGGTTTGTCTTATCTTGGGTCACAGTGCAAGTGAAGGCTAGATGACGTACAACCACAAACACATGCTAAAAGCTCCAGTCACGGGACGTTTGCTGCACTTGAATGATCTAGCCGATGAAAGAACATGCACAGGAAGATGATGAAGATGACAACGTCAAAGCGCCACGATGTGGCGCTTTGATGTTGTTTGATTAATCCCGTTGGCTCGTGGAGTCGGCTGCGCTTTGACTTGGGGTGAAACGAAAATTTCTCGTCATCTGCGTTGGCTGGTTGATGCTCTGCTTAATTGATCACCGATATTGTCTATATTTCCAGATAATGTTGGCGATTGTCAGGAGATAAAAGTTGCGAGAAAATTGCAAGATAGGATGGCGGATACTGTGATAAGGCAGAACCCAGGGTCTTGTACTCCTGATGAGATTATTGGATTATCAGGTCTGCCACATGCCTCAGTGCCGTGGCTACAGAGTACCGTGGCACTTGTGCCGCCCGCATCAAGCTTCACCACCTCTCACTAGAGCGAATGCGTCGAGCTTTGCCACTTCGCACCGGAGTGCTAGGAGCAGCTTCTGACATGGATGAGCATTTGGGTTAACACGATAGGCTCAGTCTTATTACAGGTCCACCTTTTTTGGTCTTGGTTGTAGGTTGATCTCTATTTAAAAAAAGAAATGTGTGCCGAAAGAAAGAAAAACATGGGTTTATATTTAAAGAAATACAGTAGTCAGGGTCCATCCAGCTGTCAAGAGCAGCTGTCAAGAGTAGCGAGCTTTTACTTAACTCTGGTTCCAACACCGCTAAAAAGCAGTGTCACATTTAAAGCATGATTGGAGGTTTTTATGTTTGTGGGTAGTTGTTTTTGCAGTTCATGATATTAAAGTCTTGAGTTTAATAGGTTCATAAAACTTGGGGTATGCATTTTTACTGATAGACATGTTATCCGATGTGCTGGTTTTTGCTGGCATTTTATGGAAAAAAATATATTTACGGGCTAAATAAACTTCTGAGCATGAAAGGGGAAGGGGAGTGAGGTTTTATTCCAACTCAAGTGTTCCAGGATGATTCATTTCTCAACCACCTATTAATATTGAAACCTTCTGTCATTAAAGCCTTATCTTTAAGAAAGCTTGTGGTCGTTTTGTGCCCTTTCTATTATTATTGCAAAATGTAATAAGTAATATGCTCTTGTATTCAAGAGGATCTCTCAATCATCATTGAGGATGAACTAATTTAGCAATGCAATCACTTTTTTATTCTCAAGTGACGTGCTGACAGATGTTGACGTCTGCTCCAATAGCGTCAGTGGCTGCTCCAGACCAATGTTTTGCCTGCTACAAAACCTGCTCAAGGGTCCTGCTCTTAACCACGGCAAAAAGTTAACCGCCCTTCCCTACTAGGTACCTACAAGTATCTAGCCTATAGTTTGATGATGGTTGGATGAACAATAGCCAACAATATATGTGGCTTTCATGGTAAAGTTCCTGAAAAGAGGGGACCCAAGAACGCGCGCTGCCGGGATTTCTCGATGCAATGCAGCATGCATTTGAGCTTGAGAAACACTTCTTGTTGCTCGTGGTACAGATAATAGGTGAGGTAAGACTAAATTAGCCCTTGTTCGGAAAATTGCTTAATGTTTGGCTGTCTGAAAGGCAGCCTCGTTGAAATTTCGTTCTAAGTTCAAAACAAAGTTCTGTCCTAGAGACGTTGAAGAAGTGAGCAGTGAAAGGCGGGCAGTGTGCTGGCAGCATGGTTGGACAGCGCACAAGAGCTGTATATAAAGCATTCATAAATTGAAAACTATGTAATTGGCTCCAGTGAAAATAAACCTATTACTAAATTACTGAAGCATCGAGGAAAATGCTTACAATGTAATTCTGCGCTCCGCATGCGCTTGCCTTTTCCGTAAAAAAGATTAGAAGTAAATAATCTTAGTAAGGCCTTGACGAACGTGCGTGCAAGATAAAATTTGTTTTAGGCTTTTGCTTAGAACAGTTACCACTACAGACGCCAGCACATGCAGCGGGTGTAACTACTCTCGTAGCATGCTCCTTTGCGCTTGGTAATTTAGCAAAAGGTCTATTAGGACGCGGTCTGCTTCTGCGTGCCTTCAATACCTGGCTGATTGAGTCCAAGGCAATCCACTAGTATTCCAAAGACGTTGCCATGTCGACAGTTACAGCATTCTTTTAGGCTTAGGAATGGCAAGAACAAAAAAACTATCTAAAAAATAGGGCAAGATCATTGCTCATCCTTTGCGATAAGTGAGGTAAAGCAGAGCGAAAACCTTCTGCACCATTCATTGCCGACTGATGCGCCCGATATTTCAGCTGCTACAACATATTCCAAAGTGAGTCACGCTCGCTTGCAGGGGCCCCGCCATGTTTCCCCGCCGTCCTTACCATGCCAGTCATGTAACCTAAAATTCCCCCCCCCCCCCCCCCCCCCCCGTAAAGAAATGCGGTTAACTTTCTGCCGCAGTTAAAGTTAACCGCATTCAAGCAAATGGGTCCTGAAGTTCAAACGATGCTTCCATCACTGCTTTTGATACCCTCTGAAATCGAAACACTGTAATACTGTAATATAAAGTTCATTAGACATTTCAAAGCAAAAAGTTTTTTTAAAATTAAATATTCTATAGTTAAGATTTCAGGTGTTTTCTCCCCAAAATTTGAGAACTTGGCATGTGGAGAATGGTATTTTTATTTAGGCTCCATGGCTGTATTATGGAGTTCTGACACCAAGGGTCTCACTCACTCTTATTGAAAAATGTGGACCACGGAAGTATTAAAAAAAAAATCAATTGCAATGTGTTGTAAAGGAACTGCCCAATTATTTTGCAAGGAAGGCCCAACAGACTACCTGTCATTCACCACAAAGATACAAACTATTGCAATAAAAGCCGACAGACAAGCTAACAAAGGCCTCATATGTAAAACCATTGATTAAAATAATGGCAATCAGTCTTGGGGTCAGTAAATGTTTGCCTACTGCAACCAAATTTTTCTTCTGTGAGCATGAATGTTCTCAATTAAATTCACACGAGGTGGGCATGACTAAGTAGGTCGGAGACCTGTGGGAGGGAGGTGGTAAATTACCGAATCTGGGCAAGTGTTCATAATTGGTCAAGTGAATGTGTTCCTTGTGGAGCACGTAACTCATATGGGCACTTAGTGTGCAATGGGCTTATCATTTGCCATTGCAGCTACTGCTAGTATGCATGAGGGCTTGTCAAATCTTGGGGCATATTTGTATTTTAAAATTTCAGATTATTGCCCAATGGTGATAATGCCAAGGAATTATTAATGACACAGTGGTCATTGGTAACACATTTGGCTTGGCATACCTTGATGTCACAATCACGTGTTGGCCTAGTTGGCCTGTGCCAACTAGGCCAACACAATAAAGGCCAAAGACATCAAGGCACTGCCAAATCATTGAAAATTTATATCTGATAACTACAAAAGAAAATTAGCTAACAATTCTTCAAAGGCTTTCCCAACTATATGCAGTTCAGTGTGTTGATGGGATTTACGTGAAAACAAACTATTCATAGTAAACTATCAGTTTAAAGGATGGTTTTATGAGAACATTTGAGAAATGAGGAAAATCTTATGGAAAGTTAGAACCTCCTAGTTCGAAAATCTGTGTCACTGCAGGAGTTTTTCTATAAAGGGGGCCGTGTGTAGAACAGTTAACAAACAAATGTGCCCCGTTCTCAGATTTAAAAAGAAGGCTTCTAGAAAAAAATCACGATCTGGATTCAAAGCAAAAATGAATCCCTCTGCATTTACCTCCCCAGAGCCTGAACAGGCAATCTCTGAATCCAAGGACGAAAGTAGCAGCGGGCAGTCCACTTCCAAAGACGTGTCGAAGAAAAAGCCTCAACGGAAAAGCAAGCACAAGTGCAGTTTCTGTCCCTACACAAGCCCCCACAAAAGCCACGTGGTCGTACACGAGAGGACACACACGGGGGACAAGCCGTTCCGCTGCCTCTTCTGCCAGAAGACATTTACACAACGCGTCCAGCTGAAGTACCACGAGACGGTGCATACGGGCGAAAGGCCATTCAGGTGTCCGACGTGCCAGGCAAGCTTCAACCAGAGGGCACACCTGGAAGCCCACGAAAGAACTCACACTGGAGAGAGGCCCTTTGTGTGTGACACTTGCGGCAAAGCATTCCCAAAGAAGGCCCACCTGAAAGATCACGAGAGGCTGCACACTGGGGAGAAGCCCTACAAGTGCAGTGTCTGCGAGATGGAATTTAGTTCCTGTTCATCTCTGGCGAGACACAAAAAGAGGCACACCAGTGAGATGTTTCAGCCTGGATAAAACAGTACGTTCACGCTGTCCTTCGCAAAATCTGTCCTTGTCACAACTCGCAACCTTTGTTTATTAGTTCCTTTGCAGCTTTCATTTCTTGTAATGCCTCCACAAGGTGTGGTCAGTGGGTCTAGCTGTCATGCCATTTATTTCTTGTTCCCGTGTGCACGCCTAGTAGTGATAGGACAGTGCAAATTACTCTCTTCTGAAAAGAGGCACTCAGGCTTGCCTTTTTTTTACTTCTCAATCTTGTGTCATCAGAATGGAACTATAAAAGCTTAAGTGATCCATGGGTCAATAAAACTATGAATGCTCAAACATTTTTGTTCTCTCAATCACACTTTTTATATATATGTGAATGGCAGGATAACTGGGCCATTTTCAGTTTTTGCAAATCATGGGTTCTTGAGTTTTTCTTTTGCAGACAACAGAGTTTGCTTTGGACCATAATTATTACAATTCTAATGAAACGGTTCAGTGTCTCGCTGTAGCATAAACGGTGTTGCCTAGTATCCACTCCTCCGACGTCGTCTCATAAATTTCCTGGGGTTTGCGGTCTGCATTGCAAAGCTGTGCCGACACTAAATTTTTTAGAATTCGTTCGTCTCGGGAGAATAGGGCAAGCAAGCCTCCGGCACACTGCGAGTGTTAATGCAAACATGACTTCGGCACCTTTTTTCACTTCACTAAGGGGTACTGGCCGGCATAAAAATGTACTCCTTAGGTTAGTATCTCAACTGACCACTTTCCACCACTAGAGTAGTTTTGATGGCAGCCCTTCAATATCGAGAAAAAAACAAAATCAGCAATGGCTTATTCACACCAACAGTGTCGTGGAGTGTATGTACTCAAGCATTTACTTAGTTGCGAGAGGACAGTAAGGTACGAGAGAAAAAGGCAGAAACCGTGATGGAGATTGTGTCTCCGTGTTTATTCCATGTTAATCCACTCCCTCCAGCGCAACACAAGAGCACCACAGGGAAAACTACCAAATGTGCCACTCCTGCTGCACAGGTGTTGGGAAGGCCGAACTGAGTGCCCTACACAAAATGCTTGTCCCAGTAGCAAACAAGCAACAAAAACGGGTGGAAGCAATAATCGTCGGAACCAGGTTTGTTTCTTTGTCCATGTCACAAAGGATAATAGTGGACCGAGGAGGTTATACAAGACTTCTGGAGTGGCAGTCTCTTGCACTCTCCCGTGCGACCGGGTGAAGCCAGTTTTGCCGGTCAGCGGCCATCTTGCTTGGGGCAAAAGGGAGGCGGCACTGGAAAGGGCGCTAGCAGAGCTCCGTTGCTTTACTCCAAGGCCCCTTCAGACACGTTGGATTCCTTTTTCTGGGATATTTTATAACTTTGGAGCTACCTCTGAAATATTACAGAAGCATCTAGGCCGAGTTGAAGAACCAAAAAATATTTTTTACCAGTTTTTTCTTTTTGAGCTTGTTTATTTCTTTACAGTACTTACAAAAAACAACGCTCACGATGATGAGCTGAACACAGTAAATTAACTAAATAAGTTGTCATTGCTTCCCGGCAGGCTGCTGATAGAGGCAAAATCTGTAAAAAAATACTCAATTTTTCCACAAAACAGTTTTCAAACCCTCAAATGATTCAATTCCAACTACTTTTCCTTCACAGCAACTTGTTATCCAGTTGTATTCAGCCTACTTAATGTTTTCGTAATGAACACATAGCATACCTCTCACGATCGCGAAAATTTGTGCACGTGAGCTATCACCAAAACCGGCACACTGAAAAATTAGAGAAATATCAAGCTCACGAAAATAACGTCGTTTATAATACTTGTTTTGCAACTGCACGGCTGTTATAAGCACACCGTCTCGAGTTTTAGATGCAACTAACTGAAATACAAAATAAGTGTCCACAATCGTTACAATACTCGCATCTTTCTGCAGGCATGCTGGAAAGGCAGGAAACACAGTTGGAATGCTACCTGATCAAAGTCTTCTCGCTTGACCGCTTGTGTCAAAGCAGTTATCTTCGAAGTATACCGAACACAGAATGCCAGTATTAGACAACCAATCATTCCCCCGTTGAACAGCACGCTCCCTCGCAACACACTGAGTGCGGTCTTTGGGAAACCTGCAACGTGCAAACATGTTTAAGGCTCCATTTTGCCGTTCAAATGCACATAATCATTGAGCTTTCTCCCATGAGCCTGCTCACATACAGTAGTAAACTATAGCGAGCAAGCAAGATTGGTTGCAGCGTGTTTGCTGCATATATATACTTGCACATGAAAAGTAATTCCTGGCGTTTGCATGCAATTTACACAGTCGATAGCGACACAGGAGCTTACCACCGACTTCAGAAATGGCTGCCGTTACTTCACAATGAAATGCCGCACATCACATTACAAACCTTGGTCCTACGCCACAGGGTGCGTCGGACCGTTTTCTGCCCCGAGCAAGATGGTGACTGTCGACGTTCTTGGCGTCTCCACTCCAGAAGTTGTAATATAACCTCCTTGTAGTGGATACATTTTTAAAATGTGGTTAGGATCCAGTCATGTCTCATTTATACGGACCTCATTATTACAATTGCCTGCTATATAAACAAAAAATTTTTTTATTCTGAACAACTCGCATAATGAATGATTTTCGAGGGGAACGAAGGTGTAAATATTAACGAGACATCGCCGAATCCAACTTCACAATGCCAGGTCACAAAGCAGGCCAGATCCATTAAAACTTATTTCGAAATAAAAAGAAAAAATAGGAAAAATCTGTTTTTGCCAAGCTGGCATTGGCACACAGCCACATTCCAGGGACACGTGCCACCATTGCAATCTAAGGCTTGCCACGGGCGTGCACCCTCTTGTGTCGCCTCAGGTTGAAAGGCGTGATGAATTCCCGCCCGCAGATGTTGCAGACAAAGTCATCGGTGTGCACTTTTCGGTGGGCCGCCAGGTAATCTCCTCTCGAAAACGTCTCCCCGCAAGTCTTGCATCTGTAGGACCTCTCGATGCCGTGAGTCCTCTGATGAACAGCCAGGTGGCTCCGCTCCGCGTAGGTCTTTCCGCAGACGTCGCACTTGAAGGGCCTCACGTGGAACCTCACGTGGGCTCTCAGGCTAACCTCCAGCGGGAACTTTCTGGGGCAGAGCTCGCAGGCAAAGGGCCTTTCGGTCGCGTGCACCACCTCGTGGCTGGTCAGGTGGTTTTTCTGCGTGAACGCCTTCTTGCAGACTTTGCAGCTGAAGGGTTTTTCTCCGGTGTGAATCCTTTCGTGCTTCGTGAGGCAAGAGTTCCTGCGGCTGGTGTAGGAGCAGAAGCGGCACCGGTGCTTGAAGCCCTGCCGGTGCGCCCTCCATTTGTGCGCAGTCAACAACTGCTGGGAGGCGAACCAAGCGTCGCAGTAGCTGCAGTTGATGCCCTCGCCTTCACCGTGCGTCTCCACAGGCTCTGTAAGGAACGATAATTGCAAACATCAGACTGATTGTTTTTAAACTTGTGAGAGCTGCAAAAAGTGAAATTTCTAGCTGTGCCAACAAAAAGATTTTTTTTTTGTTTGTTTGCAATTTAATGAAGCGTTTCAACCGAATCTAGCTCGTAAGCATTCTTATGGAGATACAAAATCAGTTCTGAGGCAGTAAAGATGATTTTGTTTCTTAAATTGCTAAACAAAAGTCAGTGAATTGCAGGTATTCACTGATAAAACAATATGTTTTTATGCCATTTTTTTAGTGTGCCATCATACAATTGGTGACCTGAGAATAAAAAAATGAATGATCAGACATAGAAACTAGGACTATGATGTAGACTAGCCTTGGGGGTTTAGAAATCCTTTCAATATATTAAAGGTCTTTGAGGGGCAGGACACTGGCTGGAGATTTAACTAATGAACTACTCAAGTGATCAGAGTGAAATTTGCAGGAGAGATTTAACATAAGGTGTAGGTGTACTGTGCTCACTTTCAGCTCTGATTGTGGTATCGGAATTCTTTTACCTTCGAACAAAAAGGTTCCTTCGTATGACATTTGCAGCAAATAGCAGAACCGAGAAAAATGCATTCAAATATTTAACTCCTTTAATTTGGTACTGCCTCAAAATGTGTTGAAAATATTTTATATCAACCTAACTATTTGGTGTATGATTATCAAAATAGGTGTAAGAATATATGATTAGTTTTTAAAACCGAAAAAATCAAAATTGAAAAATGAATTTAAAAAAAAATTTAGGCTTATGTCCACCTAATTAAAAATGCACAAGCAAAAATAAATTGCAACCATAGACACGCTTCGTAACATTGGAGCTTATTCTACAACTTTGCCTAATGAGCGCAGAATTAAAAATTTGAACCAAGAGCTAGAATTGCCAGATTAATATTTATGAAGTTGCATTAGTAAACAATGATACAGACCTATTTTGCAACTTTCAGTCTGGTGCACACCCGACACAATAGCATCCAACATTTCACTCTGAAGGAGTGCTTTCTACCTACACCTGGATAGCACTGCGGCAAAGAGACAGACCGAGGAGCTGCGAAAGGCAATCCAGGATTGCTCAAAATTTCCATTAACGTGCAAAAAATTGCCATTATAAGTACAATAATTTTGAAGCTATTCCTACTTAACTCTACAGAGGCGACTTTTCAACAGTATATTCTCATATGGCACAATTAAGTGTTATTCCAATTATGTAGAGAGCAGATGACAGTAGTTGCAGTTCAGTACTCACTGGGAAGCTCAGAAAGGCATGCTCATATGGTTCGTCACGATGCACTGTACGTGACTGTGAATTAGGTCTTTCCTGTGTATTAGGTCTTTCCTAATGTCTATTCTGAGTGCACTGCTTTCCAGCGGTGCTCCAGAGCGGTATTACACACACATCCAGCAAAGCTAACTATAGCCTGCCCCAAATAGACTTCAAACAATGAATGACACAGCAAACTGTCCTAGTACTAGCATTTTTAATATAAGGTTCAATGCTGTGTTAACTGAATCAATTAGTAAATGCCTCAACTGTCTGCATGTGCCTAACCTAACAAACTGGGACCTGCGCTGTTGTGGTACAGTCGTGTTTCCCTTTAATACGGAGATTATTAATATGGACATCCTGCTACCTAGACAAAACCTTTGGGGACAAACCAGGTAAATATGTGCGTTTCCTCTCCTTATTATGACAACATTGCGGACATATTTGGTGGGAATGGAAGTGTCGATATCAACAATCTGACTGTATCGAGGAAAATTAACTTTTGATCAGAGGCTGGCACGAATCAGTCATATTTCGACAAAGGCTAACAAAAAGTAGCAGGGTGAAGAGCTTGGCAGAAATGGTGTAGTAGTAGTCCCGCTGCTCAGTGTGAAATGCACCGCAACAACCACTTGCCTTGCTTCATTGCATGGCTGCCGCCATCAGTTTGCTCCTTTTCGGAGAGCTCGCCTGAAGTGCTCTCGTAGTGGAGACTCTCGCCTTCCTGTTCCGACGCTTCCTCAGGCTCTGCGGCAAAAAAACAAAAAGCACGAGAGCTTTCTCTTTAAACATCCCCCCCCCCCCCCCAAAAAAAAAAAAGAATACAAAAACTTTATATTAAAAAAAAAGTTGATTTTTGAAAAATGCCACACTTACAACCAGAAAGTATTTCCAGAAAGTTTCACTTGTTTACACTGCAGTTATTTTTTTTACAAACTATTTTCGGTACACTGATGCTAAAGAAAAGGCAGAGGTAAAGCACTTTGAACACTCTTTCCTACGTTCCACTTTTTGGCATAAAATTCACTTTAAGGAAAACTATTGTTTGGTGACGGGACAAAAGGAAATGCTCGCTCATTGGAATTTAATGGACAATTCAACTGTGGTGTTGTTTTTTTTTACTTTGTGGATGTCTTTTATGAAAGATAGATTTTACCAGCATGAGAGAAAAAGTATTATTAAATTTTTCATTGTGACGTTACCATAAGATGAATTACTCTTGGGAAATTTTGTTTTTACAGTTGCATTCTCCAAACAGGCATTCGGCTGCACACCTAGTGAAGAAAAACGTTGGGTATTACATTTGTCTCCAAACGGTAGATTTCCTAAACAAGGTCATTATGTGTTCCCGATAAAAATGAGTATATTTTCTTTCACAATTCACATAGACGGATGAAAATTTGCCCTGCATTCTGCCTCACAACCGCCAGTACCTACTGTAAATTTAATTCACAGTAAGCCGAAGGTTCATATGTTTACCCTTTTGGGTGGCGTCCTCCCTTAAACCAACAGTGAACACAAAGTTTAACTCGAAGGTAAGAACACGTACAGACGCCGAGAGGATTAGTACAGCAAAGCAACTCCTTTGGACGTCCAGCCCCCAGCAAGCTCTCCTTGCCTGCTGCCGTGCACTGACTCTGCATACACGAGAAGTTCAGGTGGGACCGGTAGTATGAGTGCCAGCCACTAGGGTCGCACAAGAGCCGCTAAATAGGCTAAGCTTCAGAATAATGACACTTTGGCCACCTTGGTGCCTGAAATCATTGACGCCAATATGGGAAGCTTTATCCGAAATGGCGAGAAACAGATTTCCGTCCTCGAGAAATGGTCAAACGATTCGCGAGAAAGTGAGACGATGTCGCTGGAGCTCCCCGACACGGTACCCAAGGCTGAGGGAGTTGCATTTTCGAAACGTAACGATTTCCTTTTGTGCCTGCTTGGCACTAGGCACCAAAATGGCGGCACCCACAAGAAAACCGGGGAACGGAGTACAGATACTCCAAGTAGAGCTCATTTAGTTCTCTATGTTGCACCTAAGCATCTAAAATTAGGCAACAGCCTAGGTAACCTACGTCGAAACTAAATCGGTCGAAATGTGATGTCTGGATGCCCAGTGTGTTGCACCATCGTCACATCTGGTACAAAAACAAGACAAACTAGGTTACAGATTTGCACGCTTTTATACACATTATTTGCAAGCTTTATTTTGACATGCCCTATTTTTACTGCACTCGCACGGCTGGAGCAGTCGACACAAATTGGTGCCAATAGTTTTGCAACCTCCCCTTCATTCTTCGAGGTTTCCTGGCAACGAAACACTCCGGATAGGTCCAAGCCAGAAACTATTTTCAGAGTGCCAAGCCGATGAAAAATGGGAGTCGCTCAAAACTAACACAATGTTAGCGTCGAGTCGCGAGAGTGTCACAAAATTCAAAGATGGTATTCGCTAATACACTTATGCCGTGTCTCACGAGTTGTGCGTAATCTAGACTTTCTTCCACATATATCTCAGTCACCACTTTTGTGCACATCAGGAATTCAAAGTGGTTTTCTTTCTTTGTAGCACTGAGTAGAACTTCTGAGACAAGAGTACACCTTTTGAGGAATATTTTTTTTTTTTTTTTTTGCAGGTGTATTGTGAAGTGGCTAGAGATGGCGGTGTGGTGCCTGAGAAAGCTTCTGCTCCTAAAGTTCTGGAGCTCAACATGCCCCCGCCCCCTGAAGCCTCTCAAGAAGCCTCCACCCCTTTGAAGTTTTACAGCTCAAGATAGCTAGGTACTCAGAGATGTGCGGCTCAAGGTGAACAACCGCAGGAGCGCAGACTACATCGCTGCTGCCACTTGCCTCGCTTCACCGCAGGGCAGTCACTGTCATCTGCCTCTTTCTCGGGAAGCTGGCTCGAGGAGTTCTCGCAGTGGAGGCTCTTGCCTTCACGCTCGGGTGTCGTTTCCTCGAGCACTGCAGCGAAATGTCACAAAAGAGCTTTGCTCATGAAAGTGACAGCGCCCGAGTGAATCTGAAAAATTTATGTGATGGTTCAGATAGGGAAGTACAGTGAAATACCACTCAAACTCCAGTCAAATTCAGATGAAAAACCTTTTGTATAATCCCCCCCCCCCCCCCCCCCCCCAAAAAAAAAAAACCATTGTGTCCAGAGCGTTTGGCAGAATAAACATTCACTTAAAAGCAAACTATTTTTTTAGGTCTCTTAGAAACTGTTCAAGTGGTATTTTACCATACTCCAGGCAACACCGAATAATTCTAAGCAAATAATTTTTGAGGCCACAAATTGACTGGACACTGAAATTACTGCACCAGTGGAGCTTTCAAAAGATATTTTAAAGGAGGGACAAACATTGTGAGACATATTTGTAAGCTGTGGTCATCCTGTGCCGGGGGTTAAGAGAGAACGCTACTTGGGAGGGCCACAATTTGGGCTCCTAGCTTAAACTCGAGGAGATTGACAGTGTAGGCTGCTAGTCATACTGATGGGTGGAGTAAAAGGTTTCAGCAATGTGCTTTGATTGTGAATGAAATTACAGCAGTTCCCTATCGGGGAGTGATATATTTTCCTTCACAAAAGTTAAGTTCATCATTTCTTTCCCCTCCCCTATACAAAGCAGAATATCTAAAGAGTGTGACTATGAAAAGAATTTTGTCCTTTTCACAGTCTGAAATAGTCCTTCATTCAGAAATAGTCCTTCATTCAGAGATTTGTGAGGTCCAAAACAGAAGCATGCTATCCTAGAGACAAACTCCCCCCAAAAAACTTGGTTTTAATCGGGAGATGGGGGTTGAAAAACAGCAATAATTTGCAAAACATTTTATTTCAGGTTTTACGATGCTCTATTATCTTCGAATCTTCATATTTTGTGTAGAAAAATAAGAAGGACCAAATATTATTGCAAAATTAGTCAGATACAAAATTGAAGAGCTCTTGGCGGCCCAAAAATGCATGCATTTGAGCCATTTTCGTGTGTGCAGTTCTTCTAATAGTCACGTTGCCCACCATCACATTTAGTTTGAGAGGTAAGCCTAGCTGTCTCCACTCCATTGCAGTCTCCTCTAACTTAAATTTCTCCTCGCGAAAAATTAACAACAGAAAATTATTTGTTCTGCTGCAAAAAGTGTTGCTACACACCAATGGTAATATTTTAACACATTTTTCTCTTTCTGTAATTTTCAGGAATCTTCACAGTTTGTGCACGGAAATTTTTCCTCTTAATACTTGGCATGCAAATGCTTTAATATATGTAGAATGCAGCTATAAAGGTTTGGTTAGAATGTATATTTTGATATTTATAAAAACTTAAAGAAACTTTTGTTAGGCCTTTGAGAATGATATTATTTGTCACTTCTAATTGCCGTGAAATCCCGTAGGAATGCCCTCCCCCGAGAGATCGCCCATCTCATTTTTCGGGCTAAATATCTATAACATAAAGATTCCTAAACATCGCCCACCCCCGATTCACGTCAGGCATCACGCTATGTCCAACAGGAATCACATCAACGGCGAGATCTGCGATACTGGCATGTGTGATAAGTGACTTCGTAGCGGCGTGATATGCAAGCTTGTAGTGGTGTCCTGCGAGTTTATTGCACCATGAAATGCGAACCTGCTGCGTCCAAAATCTGCAGTATCACTTCCAGGTTCACATGGGTGCCCCAATGTTTGTCGCTAATTCTTGATAAACATTTTGCGGTTCCATCCCCAAAGATCACCCACCACACATTTATCACCCTTTATCTCTTTGTTTTGGGTGGGCGTTCTTACAGAATTTTACGACATCTCGCACAGATTATTTTTGTTGTTCAATGCACTCAATGGTTTAAAAGGAGTGAATTAGCTTATTTTAATAGGCTTTTTTAAGTGGGCTGCCATGCCTTATGCGTGCGCACATTTTTTTTTTTCGTGTGCATTGCATTTAGAACAGCTATATCAAAACTAGCACCAGATTTACAAAAAGAAAAAGATCAACCACTATAAACCGTAAAGCATTATTCAGTTATCGTAAATATTAAAAGAGAAGTTAACCCCCTGGTGCATGTCCTTTCAAAGGAGATGTGCAACAATTTCAGTGCTTTGCTTAAATAATTGTGGGAGTTGGTGTCTCAACCCTTCTGAAGAAAAGAAGAAAAACCACTTTTGCCTGCATGCCCGAGTTTTCATAAAAACATATTACAAAGATTGAGGTTTTTGGCACCTCTCAACTCCTTCACCATATTCTGAGTCACGTGCACTGTGATGTGAATGGGGAACGAGCGGGGTTCTGGTGGAGATCTCTCTTGTGCCATCAGTGAGCAGCGAGAAATCTCCCACTCGCGAACGTGACCAAGGGTTAAACCATACGATCAACGTGGTGAATAAAGGAAGGTGCCAATGTGCACGTTTGGGTCTGGCCGTCCTCTGCGGCCGTCCGGCTACAGGCCGACTCGTGGTAGCAGATAGAGCTGACGGTTTTGTTGAGTTCAGCTAGATGGCGCCACTGAAACTCTATATCAGGGGTGGCCAAGCTGCGGCTCTTCGCGTGTTAAAGTGCGGCTCGCGGCTCGCTCCCCAAGGCCCCCCTCCCCCCCCAATCAACTTTCCCGCGTTTTAAATTAATACAGGTTGCGGTTCGGCATTCTTGTGCTACTGCTACCTAACGTACAGTAAGACTGCTTTTGAACCGGATAGATTGAAAGTAGTTTGAGTTTCGTTTATTGCTCTAAACAAAAGTTAGCCCCTCCCCCCCCCCCCCCCCCCATGGCTCTTGGAAGTTTCGCGGTTTTGTTTGCGGCTCTTAGGCCACGTCAGCCTGGCCACCCCTGCTCTATATAATTAAAGTTTTGTCAATGATACCAGGTTTTTGACGCATTTATATTTATGTTGGAATGACAAGATTTATAGAAAAATTACCCTCTATCGAGAAGGTAGTTGCCCAACTTGCTATATTTTATAAGTCCCCCATAACGTCACGCCGCGTGATTCTCATGGCCGCCGCTCGTGGCTGCAGATTCGGAAATAATAGAATTTTTGCCTCGTGTTTACAAGGCAAAATTGCAACATTTTGAAGGAAGGAGATGTGTTCTCTTCCTTTGTGACAAGATAAACAATGTCAAAAATAGAAGATGCAAATTCTTTCAATGTTAAAGTCGTTGCACAGCTCTTTTAAGTGCTCAGATTGCAGACGTGAGACACAAAATAAACTTTCCACGAAAACAAGAAATATTGTACTGCAATATTTACGTTGTCACAAGACTCACTTTGTGTGAAGAGCGACTCTAAGTGTGCTAGTACTTTGGTATGCCGTACCAGAATAGAAGCATGTCGCGATACTCGGAACGGTTCTCGCAACCTAAGTATTGCGCAAAATTAGTGTTTTCTTTTCCTTAGGGGAAGGTTGTTTTTTTTGCATGTACATTTTATCTAGAAACAATTCTTTTTAGTTTACCGTCCCTTTAAAGAAGTGCTTCCTCTTCACAGATGTGGCACGACATAAACAGAAGGATCATCTGCACTTGCCTTCCTTCTTGATGTGGTTCTCTGTCCAGTGGGTGTCCAGCAGCGGCTGGGAAGGGAACTGGCTCTCGCAGGTATTGCACCTAAAGGGCTCGTCCACCACAGCAGCGGGCGTCTCGTCCAGTCCTGCACAAGGGAGGAAGAGAAAACAACATAACTGTGTCAATGCAGCCCTTTTTTAAGCCGTCGAGTCGTTGCCATCCGCGTACGGCAGCGATTACACATTTGAAAGTTCCCGCCTAGACGTGCAACCGCAAACATTCTGGGAGGTGCTACTATCTGCTATATCTCTGAAAAAATATAAATTCTGCATTCGCACCCTGTTTTCTTTGAACGCTACCCAAAATTGAATTCAGAGGATGAGAGCTCGCCATCCAACAGAGAAGTCGCGTAAAGTACCTCTGGAACGGAGTCCGAGACCGCCGGAATGTCGAGGACGTTTCGTTACAAAAACAAAACGTCTAGTGTTAACGACGAAACGAGAAAAACACAGGCAAGCGTGTGACGTAACTCCATAATCGACTCGAGGATATGAGAAAAAAAAAAAATCGGACAACCTCACACATTGCCTTGGATGTTGAAACATTGTGAGGTTGTCTGGTTTTATAAATATTTTGTAGCATTAGCTACACTGGCCGAGGTTGAGCAGTTTCGCGTAGCCCTCATAATGAGCCATGCTCATTATGCGAACCGTGCTCGTTGTGCGGAGCGCGCGGCGGTAATGGCAAAGCTCTGCATAATGAGCACGGCTCATTATGAAAGCCACGCGAAGCCGCCGCGCCCGCCTCGCCGGTCTGCGCATTCCAGAGTGATGTCATAGCCGCGGCAGATGCACTGGTGCAGCCGCATGCCCAGCTGTGCGCCTCCGTTGCGCAGTAGCCAAGTCTGACGCTTCACCGGAGTCGCTTGATAGCGCTTCTCATTTTGTGCGCATAAGCTCACGCTACGTATATCCTGCCATAGCCAAGCTAAGTCTTAGCTAAACCGTAAGATTTTAGTTGTGGTGCAAACGTTAGCATGCAGTCGTTCAGACACAGCACTGCCTGGGCAACGCGGCAAACGAGTTTGAGATCAATAAAAAACGTCACACATTCGCTTTGTTGTACCATTCAAAAGATTAAAGTAATTCCACATTTTACCGCTTATAAATGTGCATTAGAGAACCGTTACATGGCGTCATACTCTAACTGTCCATTCTTTTTGGCAAATCGGAAGGAGAAAGTCACAGAATTCAGACTGCACTGATGCAACAGCACACTGTGAGCAAAGACAGATCCACATTGAAACAAAGTACCGTGCATTGTTAAAAAATAGTGAAGTCAAGAAACGAAAGACTGCACAAAATATATTAAATTCCCTCAAGCTGCGAGGTTAAATCGGTCACAATCCAAGCGCACCTTCAATGAATGCAATGGAAACAAAACAAAAAAATGAAGGAGTTCCCAATTTATCACAGTCTTTGAGCCAAAGACGTTATAGCTACACAACCTTCTAGCTGTTCTAGAAACACAGGAAATCAAAGTCTGTGTACGCATAACCAAAAAAAGAGCAGGTAAAAACAAATGAGAAGTTCTACTGCCATCATGACATGGAAGGTTCGGGATACAACCGACAGGAATAGACGGTCGGAGTGCAGGACACAAGCCGGCACCCCTGTCTCTTCTTGTAGCAGTACAGCACTTTGGGTGAAATTCCTGAAAAGTGTTTCAGGCCAGTAAAACACAGAAGCAGGGGTGAGTTGACCAAGCCCGAGACTGTTTCATAGGAAGAGAAACATGCGGAAAGCAATCGCGCTAAACTTTCACAGACAAACTACTAGGCAGCATTAGCTCCCCCTTTACAAAGCTATAACCTACATTCTGGCAGTGTTGAACTGACACTAGCTACAAGCAGAATCTGTGAAAAAAATTCAATAGTAGCAGGCAATCCAAAGTGATGACCACTGTTCTGTCTGTTTGGCAGAACAATCATCTGACCCTCCTAGCTCATAATCACACCCATCTTTGTGAACTACCAACAATACTGTGGAGTGGACCCCATTTAGTAACTGTCTCTTGTGCCCTCCCCACTTCTCACTTCCAGGATAAAATTCCACAATGGAGCCGAACTAAAACAAATGTTATAAAGGCCAGGCTTTGCAGAAAAAAAACATGCAGACCCGGACCCAGTCACTCAAACTTTCAGGCCCAACATAAGCTGACGGGCATTTGCAATCATATCCGAATAATGAGACCATAAAGAAATCTGTTGTCTGGGCGACCAAATTTCAGGGTTACTTGGCGGACTTTATTCCTATATACTGTAAATGACTTAATTTTTGCGAGGACCTCATTTTCACAAATTTTGCAATTCAAACACAGGAAAAAAAACTAATCACACGGATACATCGTCCTATAGTACCGAATACATAATGCAACACCCTCAGTGAGAAACTTGTGTTTCCGCAAAATATTCTCCAATATACATTTTACAAAGTTTGCGAAATATTGAGCTGCTTAAAATAAAGTTGTTCACAGCATAATGTAAAAGAAAAGCTATTCAAAATGTTATTCAAGACGAACGAACCAATTACCAGGTTGCACATGGCGCATGTCCCCGAATGTCGTTACGCCAAACTTCCCATAAAAGCAGCGCCACTCAGCAGAAGTATGCCGCAGAGCTCTAGACTGTCAAATTTGACCGAACTGGACTCCCCTCGTCTCTCACATCGCCCACACTTATCCAACTCCTGCAGAGAGCAAGGAGCGAGCATCTCGAACAGCCAGGTTTTAACCCGTTGAGGCCACCAAGTGGCGAAGTTCACAACCATGCCATCCTCGCCGTAGGCTTGCACGTGAAGTAAGACACATCACAAACCCTCGGGAGGCGCCGGATTTCCCGAGACGTGTAGCGCTCCCTGACAGCTGTTCTTCAAGCGTTAGCTGGAATTGGCCGCTTGTAACGAAGAATATAGCCATCCGTTCAAAATACAAACGTGCAACTGTCAATAGCAAATTTCGTGTATCGTGCTTGACTCGTTTATGAATATGAGAGGTATGTTTTTATTTTTCATTTCAGTATCTCTTTAAGAACACCAGGACAAACTACTCCCACAAAGCATTGCACTGCTTTCACTTTAGCCGAGCAAAACACTGGAGAGCGGAAAACCACCAATCAGGGCGAGCCGAGAGTGTCGTGGGAGGGGTTTGTCCCACTATTCAAAATCTGCAACAGACTATAGGCCGACAGACATGCTTTCGGAGGGCTCGCCCAACACCTGGGGGACCGTCCAGGGTGCAGAGGTGCCCTAGGTAAAACGTTTGACGGAACTTTCCTAATTCGAGCGAGTTTCCACTGCATTTACCGTGACCATGTTTCGGTCCAGACATCTCTTCTCCCCATCTCTAGAAGGAACTGCCAAGCGTCTTCTCTTCCATAAGGTTCTTGAGGACAAGGCCTGCAAAGCCAGAGCACGAGTGAGAAAAGCCGCGATCGGCCAAGTTGCAGATAAAAGTCGTGGCAGGCCTCGTGGTTTCAACAAAAACAATTGGTTCTGGCCTCGGAGCAGCACTGGTCATGCCACCGTGCAATCGGGTTGTCCGTGTCCGCTGGATCACCGTCTTTAAAAGGATTCCTGGCTCCCAGGTAGCAGTGTCTTGGGAAGAGAAAAGACATGTCCGATAAGATAAATTGCGCTACTAGAAATTAAACACTCCGACCGCATCAACTGCTGCGCCTCAAGGGGGTCCCCCTAAATAATATGGCTATTTAAATATGTAACGTAATTTTTTAACCAAATATGTCCTCCTGTTTCCAGCAAAAAAAAAAAAGTGCAACCACTGGGCACCAAGTGGAAGACGGTATGTACATGAAAAGACAGCAAGTGTGCAGGCGCATGATGTTTAAAACCCAAGACTGTGGTGAGGGAAGAAATAGGAAACTTTGAAGTCGAAGAAAAAGGCTGGAATGGTAATGGCGTTTTGGTATTCACTTTAAGGGAGTGGGGAATGCAAAGGGTCATGACAGCCGGTGCCTTGCTAGTTTTGATGTTTTCAAGTCACTTCAAAAATCACAATTCTGCAGTACCAAACGATGTAGAGAACATGATGAAGCTATCAATACATTGGATCCCAAATTTGTACAAAAATCACTATTTAGCAGCACTATACTTTTTCACCCTATGTCTGGACGCACCAGACGCTACGAGCTTAGGGGACCGATCGAACAGCGTCAAAAGCACACTATACTCGTGGTCGGCTTTCTGTGGCAATGCAGTCAATGTTAGGGGAGAGGGTGCACCAACTACCGCACAAGCACTGTCCTTCTCTCTTCGGATTGCCACAAAAAGCTGACCCGAGTATAACAAGCCACTTGCCATGTTTCCGTATGTATTCTATCATCGCTGAACCAATCATGTTCAGGAAATGCCCAGTGACTTGTGCCTTTGAGACTGTTTGATTGATTTCATCAGCTTGTAGCGTCGGCTGCATCCAGACTTCAGATGGAATGAACTATATGACATACAAAAAGCAATGTGATAAGTGCTAACACGCAATTATTCATATTCCTTTTCGATTCTACCGTTAAATCCAGGCAGCGTATATTCTCCCTGCAGCCGGAAGAATAATTTCCCCGATATTCTTCTGGCAGTCGCCTTCCATTGGCTTTGGATCAGTTCATCGAATGACATTTCATTGACAGATTGTTTCATCTACAGCTTGTTCAGTCAGCTTTTCTTTTTTCTTTAATGAGTCTCTTCAGACTGTTGCCGCCAAGCGGTGTGTACGGGTGGGCCAGGTGGGTTGACGTTTGGTATTGAGCCACCGCACACCGTCGCTGCAAGGCGGCGTAAACGGGTAGGCCAGGTAGGTCAACACGCGACCCAGTGATACATGCGCAAGGAAATATGTCTCTACAGCATGCAATTCGTATAACGAGTGTCGATAAACCGTGTATGAGTGAAAAGTTTTCTGTGAAACGTGTTTCCACGAAATGCCGGCCCCTCGCCGGTAACGACGCGACAGCTGTGTTCATGTTGCCTGCTGTAATGGTCGCGTAGGGCCATTATGAATGAGTGGAAAGAGACAGGAAAAGCTAGGATAAGGACAGCGCCCCGAAAGGCCTGTAAAGATGCTGAAAAGGCTTACATTGCCGGCGCGTGGGCCGCGGGGTGCCGAGGTGCGGGGCCCAAGGCGGGAACCCCGACGAAAGAAAGAGACGTCACACCAGCTCGGAGTTTTTGTGAAGACTGTCTTTTTGTCGTGGCTAGTTGTTTTCAAACATTACCTGCGTTATGCGAAATCCCACTTTGGCAGTATCCAGTTGCTACGCGCAGTTAATGCAAAAACAAGCTGCAATAACACCGTGGCTTCAGTTTCAACACCTCGGCGCCTAAATTACCGCTCGCGACACAGTTCCGACTTCGAACGCTTGAAAGTTGAAACGCTGAGGCCGACAAACCCCGGGAGTCACTACATTGGGTTCTCTTCTCGGGACGTGACGGCCTGCGATGGCCCATTGCCAGCCAGTCAGCAGATGAGATGCACCAAAAGCACGATGGTTCAGCACTGAGCCTGACGCTGGCCTGACCGAACTTCCAAGATTCGGATGGGGTCAGTGGATGGGGTCTTGCGGACAGGGCACAGTTGATGCAATCGCATTTTAGCATTGCCGGCATCATCATTAGCTTCCGTTGGCGGCACAAATAATTAGGAACAGAAACCAAAGACTACGAATGGCGAAAGCGCTCAAAACTTTCAGAGACCGACGAGAGATTGACTGACACAGAAAGAATGAAACAAACTCAAGATGAAAGACGACGAACATTTCTGTCAGTTTGAAGAAACGTTCGTCGCCCTTCGTCCTGAGTTTGTTTCAGTCTTTCTGTGTCAGTCAATTTTACCAATTTTACCAACACGCTCTGCAGCGCAAGGTTCTCCATGTTATGGCAAGAGATTTTCGCTTTTCCATCTGGATGAATGGATAAATACCAGAGCTACATATACGGCTCTGATAAATACTAATGATGTTCTACCCTTATAACGGGCGGTGGCTTGTGCCACCTGGCCATAGTAAAAGAATGTTTTTTTTTTTTTGTTTTTTTTTTAAAGGAAAAAAAGTGTGTGTGTGTGTGTGTGTGGGGGGGGGGGGGGGGGGGGGGGGGGGGTGTCTAGGTTTGAATTCGAAAGGTTCCGATATTTTCGAACGGAAGTGAGGTTCGAAATCGAAAGATTTCAATATTTTCGTACCGACCAAGGTTCGAAAATCGAAAAAAATTCGCAACTTTTGATCACAGTAGAGTTTAGAATAGACTACTTCCATAAAGCCCTGCATGCAACACGGCGCGCGTTGAACTCTGGGAACTAGTTGGCCAGGGAGGAGGGTGGCATGGTTTCGGTTTCGATCGACACGTCGACAAGAGACTGTTTTCTGGTCCCGAGAGCGCCATTTGTGGTCTCTAAACTAACCTAAATGGTCAGGCCTCGAAGCTTTAGCACAAGCCCGAGACGTATAGCTTGTCTTAACACATGCTTGTTGTATTTTTGTACTTGAGCCTTCCTGTTAGCGTTCCAATCGAGGTATGTGGACGAGCCAGTGCTGGGAGTCTCGACGCTGCGAAGCTCGGGTGCTCGGGGATCTTGCTTGTGTACGAAACAACAAGCTGTAGCAAACAATAAGTATGCATACATCGAGCTCGCGCCTTTACATTAGTGTTTTTGATCAGGAAGTTTGCTTCGTGCGTCCATAGACTAAATATTACTTTTTGCAATTACTGTTTTTCTTAATGTGCCTGAGTATGCGAGGTAAAACTCGGAGGTGCCATTGAAAAGCTCAATTTCAACACACTTATCTCTTATCTGCACTGACCCGCAGCACTGCACGAAGTGAAGTCCCCACCCGCTTGCATTCCACTAATATTCAACATCGCGTATGCGCATAAGGCTAATTCGCGCATACAAACCGTTTTAAGAATGCAAAAGTCGAGTACTTGCGTGAAGAATGTCGCACCGTTCGCCGGAAGTGCGTCAGACGGGCATGAACCATCCGGCGCACGGTGCGACATTCTTCACACAAGTGCTCGAAAAAATTCAAAGCGCATTTTACGGTTGCTAATGGCCATAATATTTGTTATGTGTTTGCTTTCTTCCTGCCCGAGTATGCCGAGATAATTTCAGACACACCGTTCCCGGCACAGATCTCGAGCGTCAGTAAAAGCTCGTCCAAAAAGGCTTAGCGAGGAGTAGGGGGAGCGCTTGTTAGGGCCTAAGTCGTAGCTGGCCGATCTCAGCGTTTGCGGAAAGTTAATCTTCTATCAGCATAAAATTTGAGTGGGGGATATATGATGACACGAGGAAGACATCGTAGTAACTTTTGTGCAGTAGTGAGGTCGAATTTATTGCGTTTCCTTAAAAGTTCATGCGTAAACGCTGGCCTCAACTTCGATACCCCGTGAGGATGCGGCTTGCTTTTCGCCCAATGAAGTAACAAGGAGCAGACGTTTGGCAAACAAAATGTGTGTAAGGCTCCAGACGAACAAATTTCAGTTGTAGTTTACTGGTACTAGACGGGATTACTGACATTGAGGTCAAAGATGTACTCGTCGGGTGAGGTGACTAAGCCACGACTTACTACGTTCGCATACGCACGCACAATATCCGGTGTTTTGGGAACCAAGGAAAGTGCCCCGGTCTTCGTTTTGTATCGCTCGAGAATGAGTGTATTGTACGTTCGTGAAAAGTCAGATAATCGAAAACGCAAGCAGCGCGTTCGGTCGCGGCGTGATAGCATGAGATGAAGCTGCTCAGTCGAAACCGAAACTGAGTGGCCAACTAGTTCCCAGAGTGCACTGCGTGGCATTTCGCCGCGATGGGGCGCGTCGGTTTTGGAAGAAGTCCATTAGAAAAGTTCGAAGCTTTCACGGTTCCTAAAAGTTCGGGTTCGAATATTTTGAATTTTTTTTTTTTTTAACTTCAGGTTCGAGAATTTTAGTTTTCGAACTTCCCTATCTTGAAAATCTAGATTCGAAAAATTTAAATCTTTTGGTATCTGAAGTTCGAAAAATCAAAGATTTCTATTTTCTTTGAATCTGAAGTCCGAAAAATCAGAGTTCGAATTTTTTTAGATCTAAGATTTGAAAAACTTGGATGCTTCGATATTTTATGGACATAAAGTTCGAAAAATTCGAAGATTTCAAATTTCTTTCTACATAAAGTTAGAAAAGTTTGAAGGCTTTGATTCTCTTTTAAAGGGGGGTGCAACAATTTCCGGACTACAGTCAAAAATATGTGGAATTTGCCCTCCGACACTTCTGAAGTAAAGAACAAAAAACCAACTTCGCCTGCGTGTCCTAGTAGTTGTGTAAAAAAAAAAAAAAAAAAAGATAAATATTGGCCTTTGTGCTACCCCTCAACTCACTCCCAGTCTTCAGGGCCACACCTGGTCCCTTTCTTAGTGACGTAATTCGGGGTGCCGTACGTGTAGCTTCCCATGTGCTCTCTCGGAGGAACCCTCCTCTCCCTCTCTCTGCCGACATTAGCGGGCATTATTTAGGGGTATCGCAAACTGGCCGCGGTTCAAGTTCGACCAGGTTCGACTTTTTCTAACTTTTTGTAGAAAATTCGATGAACCTTGTATTGAGGTTCGACTTGTGTGCACATGCGCAACAGGCTGGCCAGTTGGCTTCGGATTGGATGGTGATGGCTAAGGGATGAATCAAGGGTAGCGCCATAGAGATCATACATACTAACTCTAGAAGAAAAGGTACGCCATTTTCCCATGCATTCTGGCATAGATTCTGGCTGCCGCAAGCGGCGGAGCACGCGGTCAGACCCTCGGGGTCCCACACATTGTTACCAACTGCCTTTGATTTCACGAATATAATTATATCATCAGAGCAGTTTCATAAACTTCAACAATCCGCGAACTTACCGGTGGAAACTGGAAAGATATTCGCGTTCCTTTTGAAGCTTAATTTTTGCATAGCACGCAGATGTACGGCCTTGCGTCAACGCTAAACTAAACCAGATAACCGGCTTTGCGGGTGGGGCATGAGTGGGCGCACCCCAGGAATACGAAACCGTGCAACACCAGAATTTCAAGACTTTGACAGCGGGGAAGTTAATGCAGCGTAATGAGTATATTGCTTTTTATAAGCGTTAAAATAGCTCAGAATTTAGTTTACAACGTTAAATTATCACTGTTTATATAGCTGAGAGCTTACAGTCTTTGCGATTACCATTGCGACTGTCGTCCTTCAGCTGGCAACATTGGTTTCTTTCTCTCGTGTTCTGTCGCTCTTTCGCGATCTTTCACTCGGGACCCCGGATGTCGGCGCATGAGATTTGCCACTCCTCCTCACCCACCTTTACCCCCCTGGGCAGTGCTGATTGGTTTTATTCAGTTAATACAGTACAAAACATTGAGTTATTAGCTTCTTCAGTGATTAGAATTGGCTTCTTTTAATTGCAACTGTTCTCAAAATATAATAACCCTTTGCATAAAAAAAAAAATTCTCCAAAGCTAGACATGCTTGTATCAAGGTCTGGCCACACTGTCCACAAAGTCGAACTGGTCGAATCTGGTAAAAAGTTTGAAGGTTCGTCGAACCGGTTCGACCCAGTCGAACCCCGAAAGTTCGACCTAAAAATCCTTTTCGACAACAGTTTGCGACACCCCTAGTTATGCTGCAGCTTAGAGCCGAGCGAGGTGACGTAAGCTTCTCGCCGTAGTTCCTTTGGCTGCCACTTGTGGCTGCAGGTGGGGGAAAAAGCTCGACTTTTGCTTTATGATTATGCAGCTTAACCACAACATTTTTTATTGAATGAGACATTTTCTCTATTCTCCGGGACACGATAAACAACGTGAAAATGACGAGATGTAAATTCTTTTAATTTTAAAACGTTGCACCCCCCCTTTAAGGCTAAATTTAAAAAAAAAAAAAAAAAATCTTCGAAGATTTTAAAATTTTTTTAGGTTCAAGTTTTCAAAGTTTGAAGTCCAGTTTCCATGTTCCTCCACAGTTTCAGTTTCAAATAATGTGTTCATGCCTCACTGGTTTTCACGAAATCAGGTTTAGAAAAGTTTTGGTGTGAGACGCCGTGAAGTTGATTAGGCAATTAAATGAGACGACGAGTGTCCCGGATGTGCTGGAATAGTTGCCAGTGCAGTGACATATGTGACCATAG